ATCGTGATGTGTGGAATTGTTTTAGTGGAACATTTGCTCAAATAAAGACAAGACTTTTTCATAAAATGGATCGTCTATAGAAGAAAACTAACACCAAGCTGCATGAACCAAATCCCCGCAAACCAAACGTCTAATTTTAAGCATGTAGGTTTCTGCTCAGAGGTTCTTGCTGTTGTTTCCTGTAGTAAAGTGGATTTTAAGAACGATAACGAGCAGATAGAGGAAGGAAGTGAGCGGCTGCAGTCATGCTAACACCTGCTACATCTGGTTAGTCAGACTAATGAAGGACTCCTTTCTGTGCTACATATCTGTCAAATTGTTGTATTTTGTCCCCTCTGATCCTGTTTCAGAACAAAATAACAGAATAACAGTGTAACAGGAGGAGCGGCAAAGATAAAAAACAACACCGTGATGAGATCAGCCGAAGTATTCTGAGACCCTCGTGTGATTAAACCACAAAATTCTCCGTGATTACTATTAATCGCCTCAGTCCCCAGGTAGGCCGACCATTAGGCCTCCGCAAACAGAGATTTTGTTAACTTCCACGCAATCTGTCACTCACGTCCGTCTGCCGCTAATCTTGTTTTGTTCTTTAACAGTCTGTTTGTGCAAAATGACTCCGTCGTTGCTCAGAAAATTTCGATTCGGCCTCCGACGGTTCAGGATGCGACCGCTTCCTGTTGAAGGCGCTTCCTCTGAGGTGTTGCTAAACGGTAAACGGCTGAGCGAGGTGAAGGGAAGGCAACACGCCAAACAGATGTTGAACTTCCCTTCAGCAAGCGCTGCTGAACAATACTGTGATCTACCGGTTACAACCAGGGCGTGGTTGCAGGTTTCAGCTTTCTTAACTGATTTCAAAAACCTCGGTTTACAGTTGAACTTAAGGCTTCTTAAGGTCGACTGCGTTTGCAACAGGACGGTTACAGAGAGGAAACAGAGCATTCTCTCTGCTACAAGAACTAGTTTTTTCACTATTTTCAAAAGTCTTGGTGGCATTTCATTTCCATGCAAACCCAGAATAAACAAGAAACAATAAATCATCAACTCCGGTTGACCAAATCATGAATGTGTTGGTTGTCAGCGGCGCAGCAACACTCACCACAGTGCAGCAGAGAGGCCAGAACCACCACATGAGGGCTAAAGCCACCAGGATCAGCAGCACCAGGAACACGATGGCCACCACGAACCCGTCTGACTGCAGCACAAAATGACAAAACGTCTCAGTTTCAGCAAAGATAAGATGCACAAATAGGAACATGTGCAACTCTTTAATAAAGCAGCTTGATCCTGACATCAGATTCCTACAGAGATGGATGTTTAACAAGATTGCAATGTTATTATTACATAAAAATACCAATGGTTGAACCCTTTGAACCCCAAAACCAACTGGTGGGTTTGAAAGGCATATTGTCCTTTAAAAAAGATCATCAAAATCACACCATTTATCAGAGCGACAAACTGTAACCACAGAAAGATTCATTGCAGAGTTCTTTAGCTAATTAGATTTGATTGAACCTAATTGTCACTGCACAGATTATAAATGCTATGACAACAAAATGCAGTTTGGCACCGAACCAGAAATGCAAATATATATATATATATATATATACACAGTAAAGCTACACACAGCATGTCATAGTATGAACATAAATTATTCTAATCATGTGTGAAGTGCAGCTCTGTTGGGAAAATCAACCAAATGTCAGCTTCAAATCCTAATATTTCAACAAAATCACCTTTTTGTACATTCTAAATTCTCCAAAAAATACACCATTTTGTCAAATCAGATTCTGTAAAAATAAAAAAATTCTGCGCTCCGTGGTGCAACCGTGAACCCATGACTGACTCAACTGTGACCAACAGTCGCACCATAAAAATTCCGAAAGTTGTGGAAACAAGTTTAAAATGGAAGTAGTAAAATATCCATACTGAGGAGAGGCTTTTTCACCAACATTAGTAATGTTGATTCCAGTTTTTAAAGAATAAACAATCAAATAATCATCACAGTCTTAACAACATTATCACAACAAATAGCTAAAATTCAACTTTGGATTTTTCTTTTTTTCTAGGATTTATGCCATTATTACTTTGTCATACTACACGAAGACCTTTTTGAATTCTCTCTACTTCTAGTCATGGTTGTCCTGCTTCCATAGAGGTGCAGGACTTTATATTGCAGTGAAAAATGAGGCCACAGTGAGTAAAAACGTGACAGAAGCAAAGAAAAACGCCCTGAAACTGCTCAGGGTGTAGTTCTGTTTCACCACCGTCTCTTTTTCTGATTGTATTAACTCGACTATTTCCAACATCCAAGTGTTCTAATTCTACCAACAAAACACGGAGAGCACATTACAATAATAAACTCAAATACAAACTACAATGTTAGGATGACCGTTTGGCGGCTGGATAAGCAGGAGTCTTGAGGCCAGATCAGGTGCAGACCAACCAAGTGTTTATTCACCAACACTCATATCATAAAATAAGACAAAACCAAAAATGCAAGGCAAGGCAATGCGGTGGTGGCCTAAGCAGTGACGCTCTCCTCCTCTCTCCCTTGCGCTCACTCGCCTGGCAGCTTTTTATAGGCCGCCCCCTAATCAGCCCCCCAAACCAACCAACATATAGGTTACCCTAAATAAATCATACACACGAAATGCACAGAAATACAATACTTAATTAGTCTAAACCTACTAACAAACATTAAAACTACATCTTTATTTCCTAAAAACAGCTGTCAGCATCTCCATCTAACGATTACAATTACTTTATCGCCAATGTAAATTATAATCTCCCCTCTTCTCATCTGGACTTGGTCTGTTCCGGAACCTTTAAAAAGGTGTTCCAGCTCATGGGGACTCTTTTGGCTGGAACACCTGAGGAGACAACAGAGGTGAGTCGTCACACACTTCACATTCATGCTTAAACAATGCCACATACACATTTCTTTGGTACTCCTGTTCCTAAAAACTGCTTTTTCTCTTTAGGCCTCACTACCACTGCTACTCGGCGCCGTGAGGAGAAGACACCACACAGCACATGCTACTAAACATTAAACTCATCACCCATATTGTCTGTTGTCTTATTTATCCCAGACTGTCGTCATGCGGGTAATGAAGCTCACCTTCATTACATACAAGAAACTAAAAAAACACAAAGTTATTTGGAGCAAATCAACTGCTTGAGTAACTGGAATGAGCAGAAAAGGGAGTTCTGCTTCATCATAACAGGAAAACTGACTGTCACGAAGTCAAACCACAAATTGAGCAACACTCGGTGAAATAATTCAATCAGGGAAGCAGCCTCGCGTTTTAAAACAGAGCCAAAGAGCTTTAGCTCAGGTCACAAGTGTAGTTTATAATGTGCACATTGTGTGTTTTAGGAATGAAGGTAGCTGAGACTCACACATGTGGAGGCAGTGATGGTGTAGGCACCAGAGATGAAGGAGTTGCCGTGATTCAGGCTGATCAGAACGTCCATGGTCCTGTTTAGATGAAAGAAGAGAGTTTAATTAGTGTCGGAGGAACGTGTGCGATTAACCACATCTGATCAACGCAAAGTGAACTAACTGGTGTTAGTCTGCTCCCATTAGGTCATGATTCAAGTTCCAGAAATATCACAAGAAATTCCCTTTATGACATGAAGTTTGTTGCATTTTATATATTATATACACATTATATATGTTTGCTTTGTTTTCAACAGTAATCATCAGGCTCCAGTTGACTTTTTTTAATCTCCATGAAGCACACAATTCTGACTGTTTGTGCAGTTTCAGAGTGTTTTTATTGTCAGGGTAATACAAAAAAATCCAGGTTTTCTGTTGGATAGAGATCGATGGACATGGATTGACAAAAAACACCATCAGTCTGTTCTACACAGCTTTTAAAGAAAGGAACAGGGAATTAATTTAGTCTTTTCTAACCATCTGAACCCCAAAACTCACTGGCAGCTTTAAAAAAAGCATGCTAAGTTTTATAAAAATTGCCAAAATGACACCATCTATCAGAGCCAGGAACTGTAAAAACAGACGTTAAACCTTTCGATGGTCCTTGAACTACTCATTTGTTACAGACATGCAACCAAATCTAGACTTAAACTGAGTATTTTTGGACAAAATCGCTTTATTCTACATGTCTCATTTTTAAAAATCACCAAATATAAAGTGTTTGCACTAACAAGATTCTGTGAAAAACAAAAAATTCTGCAATTCTTCACGCAACTGAAATATCAGGACTGACTCAGCTGCAGCCAACAGCCACGTCACGAAAATTCAGTGAATTTTTAGGCTGAACTGCAGGCAGTGTATACACAGACTGTAAAGTAAAATGACAAAAAGCAATCTAATAGTCAAAGAAATTCAGCTTTTTCTTTTGTTTGCTGCATTTTGTCTTCTAGTCATGGTTGTGCTGTTTCCACAGAGGGAAAGGACTTTATTTGGAGTGAAGAAAAACGTGACAGAAGCAAATACTTGACTCACTTAACGACCTAAATAGGAGGAATAAATAAAGCGTATTCATTTGAGAAAAAAATTAATTTTGCTGCATGTTTTGTCTGAAAAACGACCACTGGCTGATATACTGGCAACTAAATAAACATCTTTTTTAAATATCCGTATCAGTTTCTTCCTCACGAGGTTGGACAAAACATCCCTTATGACTTCCAGCAGCAGAACAAAGAGCCAAATGGTATTGTTTCAGCAACAAATCCTGTGTAAAAAGAAGGAAAAAAAGAACAAAACAAAGAGGTGACATGTCCGGCCGTCGCATTAGCGCAACGCTCAATAAAGAACACAACAGGATGGAAATAAACGGTCGGACTCGGAGGAAGGAAACGCGCTCGTTATCACGGCGGTGCGGATGACCAGCGGTAACGAGGCTCGTGAACTCCTGCGACTTATTTAGAAGGGAAGAATGCGGAGGCCAAAACGGGCGCAATTAAAACCCCTAATGATGAACGGCACCGCAATTTCCATATGTCTATTATGCCCAATCCAATTACCGCAGATTTAATGAGAATTCAGGATATGGAACGAATGAAACGCCTGAAATCCTGCCTGCAACACACAGAAGAGGGGAAAAAGAAAAAAGAGGAAGAAGTGGAGCGGCATTGTGTGCGAGGGGCCAGCTGTGAGTGCGTGGTAGTGTACAGGGGAGGCCTGCATTAGAACCGGTGCAGCAGAATAATAACAAGAGCGCTCTCTTTGCTTTGGATTTCGCCTCAGGCAGTGCCTTGGGCCACCAATCCTCCTGTGGTTCTGAACAGATGAGCAACCAGACCATGTGTCCATTACTATGCAGTGTATTCTAAATATTCAGAACTGACTTCTTTGCACCTCACCTTATTTACCGCGCTAAATATTTAAAGTGCAACTCGCAGAACACTTTAAAGCAGGATGGACTCTGACACGCTGGCCAACTTGTTGATGCTTTATTTAACAGACATATCTGTTTTTATTCCATTTTGTCCTCACTTTCCTTGACATGTGCTGCTAATCTTGGATGTTGAAGCAGTTCCGGTGCATGAGAGCGAGATCAGATGCAGAAAACTTAACATGATTTTAATCGTTCACTGTCAAAACTCTGCGGTGTTTAAGTTCTTTTAAACTTGACGTTCTGTTTTGACGATTTTTAGCCAGACACGAAAACAAAAAGCCTCGTTAGTCGAGCCAACTGTAGATAAAACTCTAAATTCTTTGTGTCGCCGCGTGCCTCTGCAGCTCGGCGAAAGCTGTTGCGGGTTTTCCTGCATGTTAACTAAGTGCTAAATGGGTGAGGGGAGAGGCTAATTCAGCTGACACCCTCAATCCGCGATAATGGCGGGCAGGTTGTTAATCAAGCTGGACTCCGGCGTGTGAAGGAGGAAAAGCTCCCAAGCGACTGACGAACCAGCTCCCCCCACCTTCGCCTGACATCGCCGGACATCCTTAACGCACCACAACCCAACCATAGTCAGCGAGCAGGCCTCTCTTTTTATTTTTTTTTCTCTCCCTCCTCGCTGAGACGCTGACTGCTAATTTACCGAGTTACTGTTGAGTAGGCAGAATCTGCTCTGGCACCGAGGCATAAGTCATATATCCTCCTCTCTTTTTCCGCCCTTTTTATTTCCGCGAATATTACCAAAAGGCTGATTAGCAGCATCTATTAAAGCGGTTATTCTGTGCGGCCGTGTTGGGATAAGTGCTGAAATCATTAGTCACCCTGCCGATCTCAGACTTTTGCTGTTAATCGACTAATTGTTTCAGCCAATTTTAAATCAAAAACTACAAAAAACTGCTCCTCCTGCTCCTCGAATGTCAGAATTTATTGCAAGTTTTGTCTTTTTTTAAACATATATTTCAATTTTGCACTACTTGTTTTTAGTCAATTAATTTTTCTATAAACTCTCCCTGCAATTTCTTCTGTACTGTTTAAAATTTAAAAAAAATAAAAATAAATAATGCTGTTGCCAGCTACTTGAATGTGATAATTTATTGCTAGCTCTTTTTATTTTTCAATATATTTGAATTTTGCACTAGTTGTTTCTAGTAAATCAGTTTTAAACATTCTATAAAATCAGTGTTTTAATCCCCATCTAATCTAGTTAATTTTAATACATTCTACTGTATTTTGGGTTGTTTTTTTTTTACGTGTTTTATTTCTTTTCTAGATCTCTGCCTGTAAATCACTTTGAAGAACCTCTTTGAATTTGAATAATGAAGAACAACCACAAATTAAGTGATTATAAAAACTGTCTGTTGGCCAAAAAACTGCAATTAATTAATTTTTTTCTGTACTATTTTGATTTATCTAACTGAATTGATTTAAATGTATTCTTCTGTGTTTTCAGTTTTATCTTTTACATGTTGCATTTTTGTCTTTGTGTATTATACGGTGCTAAATAAATATAAACTATAACTGATTAAATAAACTGTCAGTTGCTTTTGCTTCTTTTTTTAAAGGCCTACAAACAAACCTGTGCATTGTTGCTCTAAATTTCAGACTTCCCTGCAAAAGTGAAGTAACTACATCACTGAGCAGTGTTTATATCTCATTGTTTTCCTCCGAGGAACTGCATTTCTTATGTTTCGTCCTCAACATTAATAAAGTTCAATCTTTTCTAGTCTTATCTTTGGCCGTGACTAAAAATGCTGCACAGGCATCACCTAAGCAAAAAAAATTAGCTTATGAGGTGAAAAACACTGGGTTTAAAAGAATTAAAAAAGCCAACAGAGTGACTTTGAACGAAGGTTGATGAATAATTTAAAACAACGCTGGCTGTCATTTAACTTTTCCGCAGTAAAAGCCGGTGAGTGACACCGAGGCGAGAGCTGCAGCTGCTTGGTGGGTCGGCGGTTATGTTTGAATAAATGGGAGATGAGAGGGCGGATTGTCACCGGGCCGAGGGATCAGTCACAACTCGAGTAGAAAGAGAGCCCGGTGTTCCCCGGGACACCAGTTGAATGGCAGCGAGGCCTCTTCTTCTCGCTGCAGAATCTGCGGCTCCACGTTTGGAAAAAAAAGTTGGTCCCCGAGGCTCGCGGTAATCTGTCAGAAAGTAGGCCCGCCGTGACGCTAAGCTTTGGTGATGCCATGCAGCTGGAGCGCCCGACAATGGCGGCGCTAATGGCTTTCAAACTTCGCTTAAACACGTGAAAATTGAGGAGGTTGAATAATTCACGGCGGAGCATATGTGAGGCCTGTCACTCGGCATGCAGCAGTCATCAGTCTGCACGAGTTTCGGCTGCAGAAGTTCTAAAGGCCGGGGAGGAAGATAAGCCTGGGGACCTGAAGAGAAGCTCCAGAGTGAGACATCCACCATTTGGAGAGAGTGACATGGACAGGAAATCAATCCTTGCATGGTAGTCGGTAAAAAAAAAGGCCCCTTCACCGCAAACCTTACATACTCGACATTTTTGCCGAACCGTCTTCTACAACTGGTTTCCATGAGTTTAAAAATCAATCAGCAGACTTAAACTTGCTCAAGGTAGTTGCTTCATTACAGTGACCATGAAAGTTACACTCTTACTGGGAAGCAAAGCGGTTTATTCAAGTCCCATTCACGCTTTTGTGCTGTGTATAATATATATTTCTTCATCCACTGAAGTCCACAAAGGAGCAAACCCCTCTCTGGATGTATACGTACAACTCAAAATTTGCAACCAAGCCGACTGCACATGTGCCAGGAAAACAAATGCTTGTTTTGAGAAGAGACAATACAAAGAGATTTTT